TGAGTAGGAACGGAAAGATAAGCATAAACCTATTCTGACAAGCCAGTGAGCCACAAAGTTGAACTGCAGGGGATTATGTAATGAGAAAGATGATCATAATAAGGGAAAACACTGACATACCACTAACATCTGCTTCTTTAACCCTGCCTCACAGAGAAGCCCTCCTCCTCCTGTGTGTGTGTGTGCTGAGGTGAGCTGAAGCAGAGAAAAGGCACCCGCTCAGGGCTACAGGGACCTGGCTGTTCTCTTCTTTGTTTACTCAGGTCACATAATACAGACAGTTGATATACCTGCAGTCTTCCCTCCTGTTGTCCATCTGCTGCAAGCTGGAGTGGAGCCAAAGTCCAGTAGTGAAGACACAACAGAACAACATGAAGCAAGAGCAGGTGTGTGTGCTAAAATGTGCATTTGCACATACAATTTATAAATCAAATGTCAAGACTGCATGTGTAAATCCCCACTAGTGGCCCCTCGAGGCTGCAGTTAACTGTACAATATTAAAGTTTTGGATAAAACAAGCAAGAGACACATGTTGACTTGGTGTAAGGTTTTTCTGTTATGTACATGACAAGAAAACAAGAAACTGCTTATTTCTTCTTTTACAAATGAAAAGTAAAATTAATCAGCAATCAAAGACTTATTCAGGTCAGTTCAATCAGGGGTTTGCAGCTGCAACCTTGTATTGCCTGTTATGACCAATAGTTTATGGCTAATGATAGACAGATTTAGAACTAATGTACCTGACTTAATGACTCTTCTCTACATGTGCTACTGTTACACAGCATCTTAGCATTATTAAGCCACTTGTGGTTGCAGTGGCTGCTGTGCAAACCTTGAGACTTGTTTTTAAAATCAAATTCAACATGAATGTGCTCGAAATACTTAATAGCAATCTGCTATTTAACACACTGATGGAATGTTATTACATATCAATCAGCCTATTAGACTGTTATATTTCCTTTTTAGAGGTAGTAATTTTGACATTAGAGAAGTAGTTGAAGCTATAAAGCATTATCAGAAATATCAGGAAACAATCTCTGGGGGCTATGAATGTCTGCAGCAAGCGTAATTAAAATCAGACGATTATTTATCAAAATCAGGACGTCACCAAGATTAGTAGGATTTATTCTCTGGGTAAAAACGTACATAATTTTAAACTACTGTTTCTCAAAAACAAAAAGATGTGCAGTATGTTCTGCAGATATGGAACATGTCTTTTTGCCTGTACAGAACGAGTCCCTGTTAGATTGCTGTGGTTGTGATATAACAAACACTATGAAAATCAAGGCAACACAACTGATGCTGTTTGTGTTTAGCAGATTATTATAGGCTCAGTTTGACAGCTTCACTTCTTACTGGTGTCACTTGATTTTCATTTTATGCCCAAACCTCGTAAATCCTTGCTACTATTCTGTTCCCTTACATTTATACACAGTACGCATTAGCTGACGTTAATGGTCTTTGTACAACTATAAATACCCTTTTACAAAAGACAACTAATCAATGCAAGATGACACACTTGTTACTGAATTATAGTGACTCATAGATATTTTTAGTTAATCTTGTTATATTTTCAACATCTTATGTCAAAAACCCTGAATGCCAAAAAGTCTGATATGAAAATCTAATTCACAATTAACCTGGAGGCTCAAAAGACCAGAATGGCAGAGAAGTCACCAGTTTATTGATTAAACAACACATCAGGAGCAAATAACAGTGAGAGGATAATCCCCACTGGTAAGTAAAGACAGTAACATGACACATGGGCCAAAACTAAATGAGCAACAAGCTCAAAAAAAAAAAGCTTGTTTATTTTATCCCACACAAGAAACTCCCAATGAAAAGCTCTTGTTTTCTTTCAAATGGCATCAGAAGAAATGTCACCTTCCACAGGCTTTAACACTGATAAATACAGGGTTTCTGCTAATCAAGTCTGATCAGAAGAAATGTTCTTGTTAGGTGCAAGGTGCTGTGGAAAAAAAAACATGAGAAACACAAGATCACCAAATGCTTGAAACCAACTGAAATCTCGCCATCTGGACAGGATCTTTCTAAAGTAAATAGTCCTCCCTGTTTTCACATCAGTACAGCAGGCCTGCAGGGGTGGAACCTGCATTAAAGTGCAGACTGGAGGCTGGGGAGGGGTAGCTGGGGTCCTAAATGGACACATTGGCTCGGAGGGAAATGTTTCTTCCCCTGTGTGAACCTTAGCTTATGTTTAGCACACCTGCACTATCATTATTCTGATACCTTGTCAGAGTGGCTCAGTACTGTATTATAACTGTAGATACATTTTCAGTATTGCTTTTATCATCAGGTCTTGCTGCGAGTTCACACTGTGAGCAACATCATCAAGTAATCAGAAGTGAATTGGGAACTGTCAAAACAGTAAGGCTCATTGGTGAGGAAGAGTCATCTTGTGGCTGACCCGTTTACTGGGATCAGTTTTACGTACTGTAACTATATTGATGAACTGCAGTCTATCGATCTAGAAGTCACTACTCCTAGCAAGTATTCAGCAAGCAGCGATAAGAGTGTAACTCCCCTTAAAACCACAAAATGTAAAACAGAAGGTACACCTGAGGCTGACATAAACAATTAGTTTTGCAAATATTTGGTCTTATACCAAAGCTTTAGACAAATTTAAATTTTTGACCTGATGACAGCGCTACATGAAAAGTCAGTTATTTGGACATCACATTTGGGAACCATGAATATCTCTACCAAATTTTGTGCTACTTGATCTTGTAGATTGATTCAAAATGCTTATTTTTTATGTGATAAGTCAATAGTCACTAATTAGTTTTTTTCCTTTATCAAAGAACCAACTCAAACGCTACTCTGCAGATACCGAGCAATTCTAAAATGTTTGCTAGTTAAAGATTCAATAAAATATTAGTTATGATAGTAAAAGAACAGTTGTCTGTTTAAAACTGTAGTTCCACTGTGTACTTAGTTTAAATTCTGAGTGACCCACTGCCCAGGCTGCTCACAGTGTGAATGCATAATAACATACCCAAGATTAATTCTCTGTCAGATCTTGGATTCGCTTCATTTTGCCAGAACAAGCATCTGAATTTAACTAAGTCTGAAGGAACTCCAACAGTCAGATAATTTCTGTGCTAAAAAAAGCAAAAAAAAAAAACAACAACAAAACAAAACAAACAAAAACACCATATTGCTCAACCAGGCACTCTGTGTCGTCACTGGCTGTGTCCAACATTGTCTTCTTCAATTGCACATGTATAGTATTATGACAAAGGCATCCATTTAGGCATTCAGACATCTTGGCACTGAGAAAAATTACTTGTGGAAAAACATTCGTCATCCTTCAATTAAAGGAATTATGTAACTAATACAGAATGGTGCTCATCGGGTTCAGGGAGTGGGAAGAGGCAGCTTTATGCCGGCATTGCACTGCCACCGGGAACGGTACCATACTCAGGCCAGCTGGTCGGGGATTGGCCTGGGCCTGGCCCCAAAACACGTCAGTGGTTCCATTGCACAGTGCAAGCATTGCTTTTGCAGAGTATGTCACAATGGCATCTTCGGCACTACCGGAATGGACATCAACAGTAGGCACGCAACAGAGCAAACATGGAATAGACAAACATAGCTGTTGCCCTGGCTTCCCTTTATTTCTTCATAATGTGCTGGCATTGCCACTTTTTTTTATTTTATTTTTTTTTAAAGAGAACAGCTCTCTTTTTTTTAGGCTGAGACACTTCTGTTGCTTAGATTTTCTGTCTGACAATCAGAATGTACTGATGTAGATTAAGGCAGAATTGCACACTCTGGGACCTGCTATTGATAGCCAGATATTACGTTTCAGCTCGGGCGCAGTCCAATGGAAATGTGCAAACTCTGGCAGTGGCACCTGCAGAATTCTATTTTATAGTATCCACAAGAACTGTTAGTGTTAATCTTGTTTTAACGAGAAACTTCTCATTATAATGAGAGGGGGGTGACTGTGATTCAGTGGGTAGAGTGGCTGTCTCCCAACCGGAGGGTTGGAGGTTCAAATCACGGCGCCTACGGTCCACATACCAAAGTGTCCTTGGGCAAGACACTGAACCTCCAAGCTGCCCCCAATGGTTAGAGCCATCAATGTGAGTTGGCACTGCAGATGGCTGCCTCGGTTCTGTACCGGAAACAAATTCATTGTGTGTGTAACATACTTGGCCAAATAAAGGTGATTATTATGCTCGTTTTTACAAAATGTTTACAAGATACTTTCATGTTACAATACACTTATTACAACATACTCTATTCTCTCATTATAATGACATCTCATCTCATTTTCTATACCACTTAGACGTGTAACATACACAGCAGGCTGAAATGACTCAAATCCGATCTTTTTGCCCAAATGCGACCCATATCCAATTTCCTTATGACAGTGTGAACAGCACAAATCCGATTTTTTTCAAATCCGACCCAGGCCACTTTCATATGTGGTCCTCAATCGGATACGTATCTGATCTTTTGCAATGCGACTTCAATCTGAATGGCCAGGTCGCATTTCATGCGATTTTTATGTCATTGAAATGCGACAGACGTCACAATTCTGCGCTGGAGGAGGCGAGGGGTAATAAAAAAAATGGCAGACAACGGTGATTCTGGTGGTGATAACGTTTCCCTTCTCACTCGGAAATTATTGATGAATTCTGTGTCCGTGAAGCCCCTCACGGAATCCCACCAGTCCTGGCTCCGACTCCACACCCACACATTCCTCTGTACAGAGTTAGCAGCCACTGCTCCACAAAAGGCCATAAGCAATATTTGTGTTCTCCTTCTTCTTGATATTCTTATTATGTCTTTATTTCAATTGCAAATTGTCAAGTACATCGCTACGCACATGCTATCACGAGCCACATCCATTTCTATTTCTGCAAACACAGTACGCTGCGTCTGACGTCACGTCATCTTCTGCGCATGCGGGTCACTTCAGGGCCGTATACCGTCTCACATATGAGACATGGCAATCGCATTTAAATGACAGTGTGAACAACAGCACAAAAAAAAAAATCGGATTTCGGCAAAAAATCCGATCTGAGCATTAAGACCTGCAGTGTAAACGTAGTCTAAGTCCCGAACGGGGTCATGGGGGGGCTGGAGCCAATCCCAGCTGGCATCGGGCAAACAGCGGGGTACACCCTGGACAGGTCACCGGTCCATTGCAGGACCATTATAACCACATACTGTGGGCTATTTTGTCATACATACATAGCATACTGTATTTTCTAACACTAATGAGAGCCCTGTACAACTTGGCGTGAGTGCAGTGTACACATTGTCTTTGAGCAGCACCTTTATAGCTCATTCAGTTCAGATGACTGCAGCCGGACCTTGAAGATCACTGATCTGACACTTAAATCCATGGACAATAATTAGTCCACAAAATAACACATGAATGCAGCTCATGAGTGAAATTATGGAATACCCTGCATGTCCCAGTGATGTTACAGGCATTATTGACAGCAGTGTGTGGCTGCTGTCACTCACTCCAAGCCACAGGGCTCATGTTAGGGAGTAGAAACGATGTGATCCACTCTAGAGGTGTGTGGTACGATATCATATTAAGATAGCTCATACGAGGGCTGCCAGACGCAGTGGCATAAAACTTGAGCAAAATCAACTTAAAAAACAAACAAAAAAAAAACAAAAAACAAAAAAAAACAAGTACACATGTTGTGTACAGGATTGTGGTTGCAGGTGCCACTGAACCCCGGTATGGTTCCCTGTGACAATGTAACGACAGCATTAGAGAGGAAAAGAACCATTCAGTCTGGTAAACTAAAGCAACAACTACCACAGGAGGCAGTGGAGGGCTTCGAGCACCTAGGAAGGAGGGATAAGGGTAAACAAAATGACGAAGTAACAGAGGCATCCCTAACACACCGGCATCCTTAACACACCGTCTCACTTCCCCTAAACGCCACCCACACTTCAGATTCAATCCATAGTAGTAGTAATAGGCTTTTGGCACTTTCTGGACATGATAAATGTTTGAATGAATTGACTTTGAAAACAGATATTGTCATGGTTTCCTCTGGCTTCCTTCACTGTGCCATGCTCTCAGTTCGCAGAGCTCTGATCACACTTTGGATGTTTTCTTCAGGAACCTGGAGAAGACATATAGCTTTATACTTCTCTGACAAACAGAAGTACAACTAAGGATTATTTTATGTAACTGATTAACCTGCTGATTTTATTTTCAATTATTCAACTAGTCATTTTGTCTATAAAAGATCAAAAAACTGCTAAATATTTCCATCACAATTTAGAGCCCAAAGTGATGCCATCAAATGTTTTATCTCACCAGCATTTTAAAAGAAAAATATTAACGCAGCAAATTCTCATAGTTGACAACTGGGAATCATCAAAATGTTTGTCATTTTGGCTTGGAAATACATGAATCGGTTATCAAATAGTAGCCAAACCATTTCTGATCAATTGTAACAGCTCTACAGCATATATACAGCATTTAATCAAAATGAACTGAACTGCTTATCTTACCAAGGCATGGTCAAACTTGAAGGTACTAATGTAGTAAGCTGGAATGTCAGCTGTTGCCAGGGGTTCTGATATCTGAGCCACGATGCCACACTCATCTGTAGGACAAAAACAAACGTACAAAAAAAACAGGTTCTTGAATTCCTTTGCTGTAATGAATTTGCTCTATTACTAAGAATTTATTGAATCAGTTTGCACCTAGTCACAGTGAGGCAGTACAGCAGTGTTTCCAACCCACAGTGCGATCAGATGAACTCTCTTATCCAGCCATGTACCAAATGTGTTCTTTTGAATTGATTTCCAAATGGATATCATTTAACTTAAATGTCTCTTACAATCCACTGTTCTTGGAACTGTAGATGTTCAGGCATGGTTTCTTTTCTTTTTTTGTGGCTTGGTAAGGTCTGCATTTGTAGTATTATCACTGAGTGCCAGAGGCTCAATATTTCAACCATTTGTCCATTACTTACAATGACCTGGGAACATCCTGATTAAGTTTTTGGGCCCTAATCCTGATGCAATACTTATATTTAGCAGAAGTAAATATGCAATATTAATTAATTCTGTATCTGCCACATTACAATATGTGGGCTTATTTTCCTCCTAAGCACACGTATGTCACAATTTCTTCCTGCTCACCAAATCCCAAAGGTTGTCCTCCAATGCGAACCATTTTCCAAAGCTCACCAGATGCACTGGTGAAAAGGACATTGTTTGGAAACCTTGAAAAGAACAAAGGCATAAAACAGAGGTTATTTTGAATTTAACTATAATAGTTTATACAGTAAGAAAAAAAATCCATCTGTATAGCTTTTTGGTTTCCGCAATAATTCAAAAGCCAATGGAAAAATCCCATTTTGTTGTGGGAACCCATGGTGATGCCAACTTCTAGGTTGGCCTTCAAAAATGTGTCATCCCTACAGCACTATTAGCTCTCTAGCTAATGTCCGTGGCTGATTGTGTTGTCGTTGCTACTGCCTGTTTAACTATTCTTTAGTGATACAAAGCTGACATTACTGATTTACCAGTACCAATAAAGCACTTCTTTGCTATGTTTAACAAATGGCAGGCACCTGGCATAGTTAACAGATACTGTGTGGAAGTGCATAAGCTAACTATTAACAATATATCAACAGGAGCCAACCCAATGAGCAGCAGCAGGTGGATTCTGTTATTACAATTCAACCCACTGCACTAAATAAAAGAGCCTTTGCAAAGCAGAGTAAAATGGGCGACCTATTCCTTTCAGGCAACACATTAGGTCTTGCATAAACATGCGGACAAAACTGACCTACATGCTCCACTAACAAAAAATGAATAGATATGGGCCAATTATTTTATCTGTATTATTTTGACCCATATAAGGGATACCTCGTCTGTGAATGGATAATGTACCATACGACCACATGTGGCAATACAGAAGCAACCACATGGGATCTGCAAGCTGCTCAGGTTTCTTTATGGCCTTTCTGCTTAATTACAGAGTCTACTGAGGAAAAGAGGGGATGCAGTAGCGAATAAATGAGTCAGACTGAATCTTGCTGCAACTTAAGTACATTGTATATACCTGACTGCTCTACTATTGCTTAGCAACAAGCGAATCACTCCTTCAAACACCAATCATTAATGTGTTTTCCCATAACCACAGCGTCACTGTCTAGTATTGACTAAAATAAAACATCTCATAAAATCAAGTGTGCTTAATAACACAACACAGCAATCTAAATATTTTGTTGCAGCACAGATGTTTTCTTCCACTCAACCTTTGAGTTGTCTGTTCATCCATGACCAGAGAAATGTAACCCTCAATCAGAGAGAAGGAGAAGAAGCGGATGTGGCTGGAGTCCTCACTGGATGCTCCAGACTCTTTTGGCCTAGAAAAGAAAGCACAACACTCACTGTGGTCAAACCAATTATGCAGGCATCACATTTTGCAATATTCCCAATAGTTGTTAGGATATTTCGCTCTCAGTCGAAAAAAAAAAAAAAAGAGAAAAGTCACATGCTGATAGTACTTAAGACAAAGTCAGGGGAACATCAAAAGCAGTAGGACATCTTCTGGCGACCATGAATTTCTGTAAAAAAAATTCATGGCTATTCATCCAATAGTTGCTGACCCATTTCATTCTAGACCAAATTAGATTTCTCCCTAGAGAAACACTGCTCATGTGGCTAAAAACAGTCTTTACCTAAAGTACCGGTATTTTAATTACAAATCCAGCACATGGCAACTGAAAAAGGGTCTCCTTAGGTGATTTGATACAAGTCTTAAAAAAAAGGCTGAAAAAAGAAAAACAGATGAGAAGAAAGAAATATTGTTTTTGTGTTTAATGTTCTTTCATTCAAAACAGGTATTTCTAGGCATCTTATTGGGATTAATACATCCTAAAAGGTTCACATAACAAATTCTTTCATTTTCAGCTCTGTGTGGAATGCTGGTAACACAATTAAAAACCCTATTGATAATTGTATTTAAAATATGGCAAGCTGATTCTTACCCTCCAGAGTAAAACATGACATCCATGAGCAGGGTGGCTACAGAGGGCAATGTGTCTGGGTCAAGGCTGGTCACACAGAACATGTTGCTGGGACTAGACAAGGGGTGAATGATGGGACGGGGAACTGAAAAATAAAAATGATGAAGGATATTAATAAAAGTTATATGTAGCAATTATTTTATCACAAAACAGTTTTGAGTACTTTGTATGTTTTTCTTATTTTCTACAAATACACTACATGCAATAGTAGAGTACAGTGAAGGGAGCATCATGATTTGGGGCTGCTTTGCTGCCTCTGGGCCTGGACGGCTTAACATCATGAAGGGGATAATAAATTCCCAAGATTATTATCAGTGAACCTATAGGATAATGTCAGAGTGCCTGTCTACCAGCTGAAGCTCAGTACAGGCTGGGTAATGCAACAGCTCAGTGACCCTAAACACTGAACTAAATCTATAACAGAATGATTTCAGACAAAGAAAATCTTCAGTTTGGAGTGTCCCAGTCAGAGCTCAGAGCTCGACCCAACAGGGATGCTGTGGAAGAACCAGCTCTGTGAGAAAAAACTGTCCAAAATTCCTCCTGAACATTAATGCAGGTTAATGTTGTAAAGGGTTCACTTACTTTTTCCACCAGCACTTTGAATGTTTGACTGTTTTCAATTAAAATTATAGTCATGGCCAAAAATATTTGTCAGGTTATACACCAATTCTCCCAGAAAATTGTTGCAATCACAGATTCTTTGGTATTTTCATGTTGATTTCTTTCGTTTGCACTGGAACAATGTTTTTTTATATGCGAGACAATTTTCCCTCCTGAAACAATATAGGGTCAGGAGGGAAATGTGTGTTTAAAATTGATAAGGTTAAGTACCATCAACAGCAATGCAGGATGAATACATATCCACTTTCATTTCTTTTAAGGGATATGATCAATGACTCCAGAATGTATGATCCTAATACTGTAAGTGATGGAGTGTGTAGATAATTGTAAATTACATTCAGTAAAGTCTCTCAGCAAGAATTTTGATCAGAATTTGATTGTTGATCTGATGGCTTGGTAGTGTTACAATTATATGTATTATGAAAACATTAAAGATTGTTTGTTAAACTTGGCTACCTGCTGCATGACCCCATTCTGGAAAAGCTTGCTTCTGTGCAAAAATATATACATGTATAAATGGCTGTTTACACCTACCAAGTTTTGGCTTTACAAATCCATTGGTGACTCCCAGATTGTGAGCAGCAACAGTCTCTCCATTGACCACCCGAAGCAACGTGAATTCGGAAGACAGTGTGTGCATGACCATTGGCAGGTCTCGCTCTCGAACCTGATGACAAGGGTGGGAAAAAAGAATGAATGAGGGAAGCTGAGAACAAATGTTGAGTAACATTGCTAAGAATATGATGCATAGTTGTGGATGCTGCTTCTGCGTCTGAGAATGCCTACAATTTTTGGTTAACTCAATTTCTTGCTCTACATTCACTTCTGTTTATGACAGTACATTTCTCAAAATGGCTTTTGATAATCACCGCAAAATGCACCGTTTATATTCAGTGCACGAAGGAGGAAAAGGGATACAGAGAGGAAAATAACAGTAACACATCAAAAGTAAAAGCAAGAATTACTGTATATTCTTTACTCAGAGCATAACTTTTAGCTGAACTGAGTATTTTATCTAAAATAGTACATGTCTCTCTGCCTGTGCCAGTGGTGATTTTCTTCATTTATGATTGTCATAGGCTGATTTAAGCCTAGGAGTTCCCACATCAACAGGGCTGGGCAAAATGCAAGTTTATCTATATAGATCCCAAACACCGAGCAAATTCTTAGTGAAGAAATGCATTAGTACTACATTTAAAAACACAAAGATGCAAATGAAATTATTTTAAACAGAACAAAATTAAATGTAATAAAATAAAATACAAACAACTCGGGAAATAAGAGTATTTTAGAGAAATAAATCAAAGTTGCAGAACAAGAGGAGAGTTTATCATCAGATTCGATAGTGGTCAAAGCAACGGTGCATTTGTTATCAACAGGACATTTATCAGGAAAATGATCAGAACATGGTCATATTATCACAGTACAATTCCATCCAAAGCTTTATGCACCATGTGGTCTTTGTAGAACCATAGGAGTTGTATAGTTGCACAACTTTTGATGCATCTTGTGTGGAAACCGAAGGTCAGAATGGCAAAAAAGACATTAAAAATTTATCCTTGGGGGAATCACAAACATACTTATTGCATAAAAATTTGTTTTGGAAATGTTTTGAAGCAAAGTAATGACAGCAGTGGTGGAGAAAGGATCACTCGTCACCAGAATCAGTAGGAATCATCGTGGCGGAGCACTGAATAGATACACCAAATTGATAAATCTCATCATTAGCCCTTTTATAAACCACAGTGTTGGACAAATGAATGGAGGAATGAACCAAACGCCATTTTTACCATTAGGCCTGTCTGCTGCTGGAGGGAAAGATGCACCATCAAAAAGAAAATGAACCACCCACAAAAGCTGCACTGCTAATGGTGTTGGGTGATAGTGTTTTAGGATAGATTCTTTTCTTGAAAATAATGTCAAACAGCCAACTTCAAAAATATCCTTGCACTGCACACTGACTTGTTTCATATTCATTTCATATCTGTGTAATGAGCCTATTGGTATCTAGTTTTCACATTTTTTTCAAAGGGCCGAGCACAAAACATTTAATATGTTAATTATTATTTAGTTAGAATGAAATAAAGAAAAAAAATTGCAAATAGTATCATTTGCATTCTGAAAAACATATAACTGAATTTACAGTAAATTTCTTCCCCCTAATGCAGCTTAGAGCAATCACTTATAAAAATATTTTTATGTAGTTGTCATGCAGGCCAATACCTAACCATTAATGGAGCTGAGTGTATTGATAGAAAGCAATTTTGACTTGGATCAATATATGAAGGCTGTGCTTGCTTTCTCTGATACAAAGGTGACCTCTGGAGCTGGTGAAGTACATTTGGGCATTAACAGAGTTGTTCTTTATCCAGGGTGACAGCTATGAGTTTAACTGAATTTCTCTGTGATTGGGGTCCGTGTGTGTTTGAGTAGAGGGTAAAGTTGCTTGTGAGAAGCTGGTGTGTAATCTCCAAGCAGCTTGCTTCAGTCGGGATGCTTATGGTGCTGCCTAAATGAGGGTATTCAACATTTTGGTCAGGTTTTACTGCTTTAAGTTCCTAACAGTGAAAGAACAAAAAACACATCTTACTTAAAGCTGGCTGGTCTGTCTTTTGGCCTGGCCAGAGATTTTGCAATACAATCTGACACAATGCGAGACAGGGATAGACAGAATGGATGGGTGTGGGCAACAGGGTCAACTCAGGTTTTTGCCTCTTTTTCATCTGGCACGATAATTAGGACTGGGGTTAGGACAGGACAGTGTCCAGACAGGAAACAGCCCAGACTAGGATACCTGGAATTCCAGGAACAGACTTAGCTGCTGATCCCTTTTACGTAACACATTATCAACATGGACACAAATTTTTCATTTTCATTTTCATAAACATGCCAGAGCTGTTCAGCAGACCTTGTTTTTCCACTAAAGCTAGGCAATAAAAAAAAGACTCCCCGTGGCCAAGAAAGGCTTTGGTATGAGGGAGGATTTCTTCCTAAATCAATGGAAGTGGGCCTGTGAAAGGTACACTACATCTGAGGTTATTGCTTTTTCATCTCAGACACTGTGAATGTAAACAGGTGTGTTGACAGCGACTGCATAATAATAGACAAACAGTGCAAGTCATAAAGCATGCTGTGAACCTGTTCAGTTGTTGGCATGCATGTTATATCCATGCATTGTAAAATCTGGATATTTACTTTTCCATTTTTGTTCATTAACTTGGTTTGTTGGCCTTGGGAAAAAAAAGTAAGATTTTTTTTTAAATTAGTTATAATAATGATTTTCATGAAATAAAATCCCATTTTGATGCTATTAACGACACAGCATTGACTAAAATAAAGCCAATCAAATGCCAAACTTTCACTCTACTGTGTTCATGCAGATGTTTTGTTTTGTTCAGTGCTGCTCTCCTTTACAACAGCCATCTCTGGTGAGTGATGTAAACAGATGTTAGATTCTATTTTACACTAAAAAAAAAACAAAAAAAAAAAACAACCCATTTCAATAAAATTTTAATCTTCTCCAAATGCTTTTTATGTTTTATAGTGTGTGAAGCAGTCCGAGTTGGCTTGTTGATGAAGGTGCTGCACAAATAAACCGGATCTGTCTTGCCTTTCAAAACTACAGGGGGTACAGAGAATTTTGTAGACTATTACTAAGTTCTAAATCAGAATCAGCTTTGTTGGCCAGGTGTGTTGAACACGAGGAATTTGACTCGGGTACAGCGGCTCTCAATGTGTATGTACATATCCCCATGCAAGGCAACATGTGATGGACTGTTTCATGCTGATGCCTATTTTCAGTCCTTTGGTTTTGCTGAATTCTCCAGTCACTCTGGCATGCTGCTGTAAGGAACCATAGCATTTTTCTGCATATTGGAAATGATGATATTTCAAAATTTAAAACTGTGCCCAATCCCTTCACATGACACAAAAGTACTATTGGAATTATATTACCACACTCACCAGAATGAAGTCCGTCTGATATGTCGACAGCATAAAAACTGAGATGTTGTGATCGGCCAGCGGGGCGATGACTGATTTGGCAATTTTGGTGACTCCAATGGGCTGTGAGTTAGAGGCATTACCACCCCCTGACACCACGTTAAGGGCCAACCATGTGGCATCAGCAACGCTGATGTGTTCTGACTGGGGCAGCTCTGGGAATGAACAAAAGAGTCGTATGAAAAAGAGTAAGTGCATGTCTGCAGCAGACCTGTAACAAAATTTAGCAATACACTCTGAAAAACTGTGATTAATAGTGTAGTCAACTCATGAAACATTTTCTGCAAGCTGTTCTGGACACCCAGTGTCTGCTAGCTCGTTCCTGGAAAAATCCTCAGGTAATGACACATTTTCCAAAGCCAATTTGGAATACATACAAAAGGAACAGGGTAGTCTGGGTGAGTAACAAGCATGAGTAATAGTTGTTCCTTTTATTTATGGTTAAACCTTCCTGTTTTTCCAATGCTTATACAGATCATTTTAGTTTTGAAAAGGTATTAAATTCTATTGCTGATGTCTTTATAGTACCTGGAATTAAACAATACACATCTACCCTCCATTCTTTTAAATTAGAGACAGTGACAGCGGAGCAGATGCAGACTGAGTATTAGTTAAACTTTCCAGCTTGTCCTACCATAACGCCTAGCCCTGTATGAGAACCTATTTGGGATGTTTAAGCTTGCAGTGCATCAGCATTAAAACCAAGACTATTAAGAAAGAGCTGAGCATATTTAAGATAAGAAGTAAACCTGCTTTCATCCATAATGTTAGGAAAGGACATGTTAAAACATTTAACTCTACAGAAAGGTTTGACATGGGACTTAGAGACCAATGATTTGAATTATCAGCGATGACTTAAATCTACTACTAAGTAATTCAAGAAAAAGGGCACACTACTGTAACTATGCAACTGTTGAAAGAAAGAAACCCACATTGTTTTTCTTATAAATGAAAGCTATAAATAAACTGTTGCACTCAGGAATCCTGTTGCCTCAGCCGTATGACCAGTAGGTTAGCTAATTTTAGATAGTGTATAAAAAGACAACATTGAACCAGTTTGCTGACTTGACTCTTCTCTTCATGAGCTGGTGTTACACTACATCAATTGAGGCTTTAACTTACAAATGTTATCTAGGGAATTCACTGCAGAGTCACCATAGTTATAAGTACTTTAGAACAAGGCTGGAGATAAAATAATCTAACAGGTTATAGTTTGATACTATAATCATAATAGTGATAGGGTTGCAAGGATGAATCAATTAATTGAAAGATAATGAATCAGCGATGATTCTGAACCAACAGAGTGTTTCAGTCATTTTTCAAACAAATACGCCAAATACTTGCTGGTTCCAGCTTCTCAACCATGAGGACTGGCTGCTTGTTTTTAACATGTATAATAGTAAATAAAATATTTCTTGATTTCAAACTGTTGGTCAAATAAAACCATTAAGATCATGACTTTGGGCTCTGGGAGGTTGATCAAGAAAATAATCAGCAGACTTATTGATACTGAAAATAATTGTGCATTGCAGTCCTGATACTGATTAAAAAGCTAACAGCATTGCACTGCGTACAAAATGCCTTTAACAACATCTTAGCTGAATTATCATCTGAACTAAATTTCAATCTAGTCCAGTCCCGAATTTAAGACTAACATTTGCAGCATATTTACCTTAAGATGCTATAAATGGATGGGACTGTATGTGGACAAACAGTATACAGGTCATATTAAATCACAAAGTTGTCAAAATGTGATCTTACATTACTTCCTTGAGGTTCATAGTTTAGATCAACAGAAACCCACCACTAACACGCTCAGAGCCAGTCACCAGTAGAAATCACCTGAGCCAGTTATGCAACAAATAGCCTGTAGTCTCCAGGGTAACCAAGGAGGGTCACCCTGCAAAAGGGTGTATAATGACATGGATTCAATCACCCAGCCAACCACAAAACACAGCTTGCGGCAGCTTGGCCTCACATCCATAATGACAAAGTGTGCTCAAACATTAGCAGTCGAAGCTACGTGATGCTGGAGAGAATCAGAGATTAGACTGTGTGATCTTTTCCTACTGGCCAATCTATGGTTACCACAGTGACTTTAAAGATGCACACTGTGAGGCCCACCTTTAAAGCCTTCCTCATCGACGATAATGGTGTAGTCCTCTGGAGTCTCTGTCAAACTGAAAAACTTGCATCTGAAAGGGAGAGAGCAAAGAAGAGAGGAAACAGTATACGAATCTGTCTCTACTGATGTCTAACAGACATCAAAACAGTCTGTCTGGAGATGAAAGGATACATGAATGAAAGTGCAGAGACCAACAGGAGACTGCAATTATGCTTGTAAATCTCTTTCTTATTTTTATTTTATATAGAATATAAAGTTCTTAACCAAGTCCTCAATAAAGCACTGTGCTACTCTGCTTCCAGTAAAACCATGAGGAATTGCAATGACCAACATATTTTTAAATACACAAATATAAAGCTACAACCTAAAAACATTATCTAAAATTTACCCCAGGATGAATAATTATTATTGATTTATCTTTATAACAATAAATCCAAAAATATTTTTAGGGATGCAACAGCATGATCCTAGGGATGGTATATTCATGGGTGAGGCAGTCGACCACTTTGTTCCAGACTGAACTATGTGACGATTTGCTTTGATTTTGTAGACTGTCATGTTTCCCAGAGGATGAAGTCTCTTTATTATTATTTTTTTTTGTTTAAGTTTATTTATTGAAATATCCTGACATGTGCTGATGGACTGGGTTGCCCTAGAATTTGGTACTGATATCTACAATCCCCAGAAGAACAAACTCTAGGGAGTTACTGTATGTGGTACCTTAACTTCTTATCTAAAGCTATCATGAAGTCCAAATTTAAATTTTGTCCAGTTTATCAACCCAACATTTTGGTTTTCCTTTTAAATGAGAGTTACAGCCTCTCATATAGTAGCTGTTAGTGTGGGTGTACTCTCTTCATCATGTTTACACATCTGTGCATGTATTTGCCTCTTCATGTTGCTTCATATCTAATATGTCCGCCCTGTTTAACTAAGAGTCTGAGGAGTTGAGAATGTTGGGATGCTGGATGACTGGTTGGTTAAAGAACTGGCTAGATGTCACAGCTGCGGTCAGGTTACAGACATTTACTGGAAACTGCAATATTAATACACACAGAGTGATGAGAGATTAATAACCTCGGTAGAGGGACAGATTTGTTTACTGCCCTAAATGTATCAATGTTGCAATTTTCTATGAATGGCTATAAACTGACCACAGTTACCCACAAATGATTCTGTGTTCCCCTAAAGTGCAATCCAATCCAATTGTCATTTTGTTAAAACCTCCTTTATTTAACCAGGAAGTCCCATTGAGATTTCAAACCTCTTTTAATGCTGCAATTATTTCTGTCTGAATTCCAACTATAAAGGTTAAATTCAAAAAGTGTTCTAAGGTGGTGAAGGGTATTATTATAAATCAGCTTGTAATTATGTCCAGCAGACTTTTTATGCACAAAGGAAAGCAATACACTGGAAAAAACACCATTCACAACACTCCTGTGATAATCACATTCCTTACAGGTCAGCCAGTGACTGCTCGCACTTCACATTTGCCTGAAAGGTGTGAAGAACAGCAGGGAACTACCACAAATACTCAATGCTCTCTCTGGGAACAGCAGCATTTTTTTTTGGAATTAAATGGGTTGTCAAGTGTCACTTTGACTTGCACAGTGTTTTTGCAGCAGCAAGACATTATGATTGTAAGCAGGAGTTGTTTTGTTGTGTCTGGATTGATAAAGCTCCTCTAACCATGACAATGGCATTAGGACTTCTACCTAATGGCTTACATTATTCTTTGATGGCGTTCTCTACAGATCAGCAATGAAACAGCAAATCACTGCAGCAATTCAGTATATCACCCGTCACTAAAAGGGAGATCACTGAACACAGCATTACTCACATTCTGTGTGCACGCAAGGAACATCACAATTAGCCTTTAATAGAGTTCATATGGTAGAGCACTACAAGCCAGTCACAACCTGACTGATGACTAAACAAGAGGAAAATCACAGTAAATGAGTTTGCAAAAACTAATCTACCTTAGGGAACATATCAAGTTGATTATTACAAACACACAGTAATCACATATTAATCCAAATCTGCACCAGTTTACCTACTAAAGAGGATATCTAAATAACTTAAAATCTTCATGTATATATTCAGAGCTGGGTAACAAACCTCAGTACTTTTTTGGTGTAATATGTCTGTGGAAGTACTGAAGCAGGAATCAAATGCCTGATCAGATTCAGAGGCTTTTTAGTCTTTGATAACATAATTACTGTTCAAAATTAAGAAATGATTTTTTTATTCCAGTTATGTATCTGGTCACCTGATGAGTTCCACATTTTCTCTTCTTATAATTTAATTTTAGTCTCCACCAGAAAAATAACTGGTTCTTTAGCAGTGAAGTGCTCCACTCTGTTCACTGACTAGTTGCTAACTTGTGGTGTTGGGCAGGTATTGTGGGTTTATCACAGCTTTGTTGACAGATGACAGCCAAGGTTTTATGTTGGAAAGCCCAAACAATGAGCTAAAAGAGGCTACAAAGGTCTGTGGAGCAGATAGGAACTCCATTGTATTGAATAGTAGAACTAAATGCAGATGTTTTGTGTCATTACCCGAGTTTATACTACTGGTACAGAAACATAGGTGTCATACTAGCACCTATATCAGTATTTTTCAAACCTATGAATTTACATTTATTGGTGCATTGTTGTTGAAATGCAATCTGTAAATTAGCCCTGCCTACCACCTACCAAAAGGTTATAAGAAGTGATATATGTGTATAAGAAATAATAATTTCAAACACAGCTATGGAGGAACGCTCAGTAAACAGAGGGTACCAGATATAAGAGGTTGTGTTCTTTTGCACACACAGAGAGAGACAGAGTAGGACAGAATCAGCAAAAACCAAGGTCAACATCAGTTTTTTTTCTTTGGCATTTTGTACAGCTTGTTGCAACCAGACATCTGTAGTTTGTGTCACTGCTTTAGGAAAAAGGATGGGAGGGGGCAAATAGTGCTAAGGAGTGATTTTGGGTACAGGCTTGTTTTGAGTCTCTAGTGAATGAAATTAAATTAGGTAGAGTAGCTTTAAAGACATAATTCTGGCAGACAAGCAGGTGAAATTTTATTTTAGAAATAAAGAACCACTATGAGGCACACATTTATCTCAGCTGGTGTAACTACAAGTTATACTATGTAATCACTGCATTCTGGGTTTGATTTCATTCTCTTTAAAAGGACTGATTGGAGCATGGTGGAGGTATCCAGCTCCTAGTTTTTCAGCTTTGTGTGAGTCATAAAATTTTTTATTAATTCATCTTGTGTGTTTTCTTAGATAAGTGATGCATGCTAATTGATGTAAATGCATTCAAAAGGAGGCAAAAGAAAAATGACAAGAGATCTGATGCAACACCTGCAGAATAAACGAACTGGAGTAAAACTGGTTTGATTTCGCAAATCAATGCCCAGCATACAGGGTGTACTATTTTAACTGGAAGGGGGAGGCACAATATACACCACTGTGATAAGGGTGAAAGTAAGTTATTGAGGGGGCTTATCAACAGGAGGAGGCACTGAGCTGTGCCACTGTTGTTGCTTCAGCTATGTAAGGCAGAGGATGGGAATAATGGAGTGTAGAGCGTCTAGAAAGAACTACATAGGAAGGGAAAAAACTCATTGCTAGAAGAAGAATGAAGTTGCAAAACCACTATCACCTAAGGGACACTAATGCTCTGGGGTCAAATGATATGAACTTATGTAATCATTAATGGATGGCTGCCATGTCCACCGAAACACCCAGCCTCAAACAAGGTGCACCATGAGAAATCACCCACAAAAACTAAATCTTTTATCCAACTGAATTTCCTCAAACATTTCCTACTTATTATGACAAAAATTGATTGTATTCACAGTACTGAACTCAAGAGGAAGAACATTACAACGAACACAAGTCCTACATACTAAGGAACAGTTAAAAAGTCAGTTGTTTGCTTGTTAACACTCAAAACCTGAAAAGCATAAGTGCTCGCACTGTGCTGCACACCACCAAAGAAAACAGCCTGAGTACATAATCACACCCACAGCCTGGACACAAATAGTAAATGTAACACACACTGTAGATGTGGATGAACTCTAGGACCAGATTTTGACTGCATCATTTTAGACAAATGAAAGTTAGATGTGAAAGAATCGATATCTGCTGTTTGGATGGTTAGCAAAAATAATCATGCTCTCTGTTACTGACCTTTTACTGTATGCAGGTCAAATAATTATGTCAGCGCCTGGTGAGCCATTAATATATGGCTACCCGTTATCATTTTAGTCACAGTTTTTGACATTTCATAATACTTAGAACATTTTAAACATGCTTTATGTATCACTGCAGTTGCTTTGTTCAAATCAAACTAGCCAGCCAGCACTCGGAGAGTGCAAACGTCTGCCAAGGCAGACCACGGTCCCCACTGCACCAGACTTGGGTCATACTTTGGTGTGCGGTAGATCTTATGTGGATGTTGTCATGCAATTTTTGTCCAAGCACTGTAGGCATTATGGATGGAGTCAAAAGCAAAAAAAAAAAAAAAAACTAACTAAATTGGCCTCCTCTCATAATGGTGAACAGTCCTTCAAAAGATTCCTGGATCAGCACCAAAAATCTAATGGGCCATACCCGATCTCTCACCAAGGTAGGGTATGGTCACCCTACAAGAATGAGGAGTTTTGCCTTATTTCGAAATTGTTTATGCCTGACAATATCAAGGCTGCGCAACATGCAGTGTCAAACAAGTTAGTTTAAAACCACAAAGTCATGTGTTTACTTCCTCACCGACACTGGTAGTTCAAGTTCTGCCTCTCCTAGAACAACAGATATGAAGTTAATAAAGAATAGAAGATATTAAATTATTCTATTATAGTCTGTTTATCCAGCAGAAAGCACTCTTAGCCTGGGTTATTTTTCTACTGTAAAATGTCACTTTCAGATAATGTCTTGGTCACAGCTCTTATCAGAGCAGTTTTTTATGCTTGTGTAAAAAAAATATTACTGGCTCATACATCATTACTTTTCTTTACTCTCAAACATTAACATTAGGACATGCCTCAGAAATCCAGTGCATTGTTTCATAAATCTCATCCATCTTATCCACCAAGCAGCTATTCAATGCTATTTTACATAACAGCCCCATGCCCACCAAAGGAACTTTCCCCAAGGAAGAGGAACATTTTGCAGAATTAGTCGCTCTACCTGCGTTGCCACCAGAAGCACCAGGGTCTAAATTTAGTTCTGGCGCGTAGTTCCCCTCCCCACACACACACACACACACACACACACACACACACACTTTGTGAAGGTCCAAGAACTATTGGGGTGAGGCCTGCAGTGCTGAATGTCACTGACTGGACAAATACCATGCATCATCTTACATGAGGCATTCTTGCAACCTGTCAGCGGCTTAATTTGTTTAATCTTCCCAGGGCTTTGGCCCTGCTGTGGAAATCCAAATCACAATACGCTCCAGGGACTTTTACCCCAGAATAAGTTCTTGGAATTTTTGTTCTCAGAACAAAAAGTACCAGGAACTTTACAATGGAAGCACAGTCACTGTATGCTGTAAACTTATGTCAGGCTGATCAACTAAATTAACTGATCAGGGAACAAGACATGTCTTTATCTGTTATGCGGGATGAACATTAGTGAGGGGAAAAATTCCCATGTTTAAGACTCCCAAGTATTACTGTTATCAGACAACTCAAGGGAGCTGTGTGACTGCAGAGTTAGCTGAGGGTTAAAGACTATAGACAAAACTGCTCTATATTCATAAAATTTTAGTTTGATTACCTTGAGCGGTGGACTGAAGAGAGGTTCATTTCATATTTGCTTGTTTTGGGGCACTTTGATATTATCAAGCACTAAGTTTAATATATCAGAGCAAAGTTTCCCAGTTTTAATTATGAATGTTGACATTAACACTCACTATCTGGAGGGTGGAAATTATTGAAAATAGCCTATCACACAAACATCCTTTATCACCTCTGCTTAACAACCCTGCAATGGGCTTTAATGTGCACAATGTGGGCATTAAAAAACACAATTTTAAGAGAAATTCTACTTATGTTTGCTGCCATAAGCTGCTTATGACCATGCAAAAACATGGGCTAGGCTGATGTAACAACATGTAGCTCCATAGCTTCTCTTACTGGACTTGTGCAATAGGAGTGGCAGTTGTGGCTGGCTTTTTTCCACCAGCAAAACAAATCAGTTCACACTAAATTTGTTTTGCTGGTGCCCTGCATAGCAGGAAAATTAGAGAATGTGCTATCAAGATGCAACAATCTTGACTACAAGAAATGCAAAATCCTATTTCAAAAAGCAACTAGATGATGTAGTTCAAGAAGAATTTAAATGTGACTTAGTGTATTGTGCAGATACTGTAATGCAATGCAAAAATTGTTGTTCTGATAGCCAATTTATCTTTTCACACATTCTCTGATTCCAGTTTCACCCATATTTGCTGCTTTACCTAATTGTATACTTTGAGGTTTTGACTTTTGGTGAGACAAAATGTGACATTTAAAGATGTCATTACTGAGTCTGTGATGTACATAATCATTAATAGGTCAGTCATTAATGAAAACAATCATTAGACACAGTCCTATCTGAGGCGAACCCAGTGGATAATTTTAATTACATCAGGTAATCTAAAGGGACTGTGTTTTTTATCAGTAACAGAAGTAGAGTTGATTAGCAGCTCAATACCACAGTTGGACTGCTGACTGACTTTTCCTCTTGTAAAACAGCCAAGGCAGGCACAGCCAGTGTGTGTTTAAAGTGAACTATTTAGCCAAGGCTGATATTAATAAACTGTGGTGGTAATAAAAACTGCACAAAAGAGCTGTGACAAGTGTAAAGGCCTGTTGTCAGTACCCAGGCTATTGAAATGAAAGTTTCCTTTGGCTGAATGGCTCTCAGTGGATCTCTACTTCAGAACACAGGATGCAAAGTGTGAAGTGTGGACTGTAAATGTCCTTTGCTGCTTGTTCAGGTTTGGTTCACAACATGTTTTAATTTCCCTCGTAGAAGGCAAAACAAGCTGCACACAAACACACACACACACACACACACACACACACACACACACACACGCACACACACGCGCGCGCGCGCGCTGGCGTCGACCCAGCTACAGATGGCACAAAGCTAGAAAATGACACTACAGAACAAGGATAGGCCTGGAAACCGGTGGCAGAGACCAAACTCACACTTGACTACTCTCAAAATAACACCGAAAGCTGCATTTTAAAGCATTAACACAACTACAGGAACTAGCTAGAGTACGCTACCTTTCTACACGAGCATACAAGTACATGCAGCCCCCGGCATTAGTTTGCTTAAATGTTAACAACAGCAGCACTCTTGCAGTAAACACGCACAGGACACAGATTACACAATGTATTTCCATTTATCTGCCAGGCCTAAGAAGTTACGTACCTTGTTTTGGAGGCCAAGAAGGCGAGTTTAATTAATCCGTGAGTGCAAATCTGGATCCCCTCTTTTTCTATACTCGCCACTTTCAAGCTGTGCTCTAAAATATGAAGCTCCATCTTTTACGTCTTCTCATTGGAGGAATGACTAAAGTGTAAAACCTAAATACTTTCAAACAAGATGCATAAATAAATAAATACTGATATACGGCCGGCTAAAGCGTATTAAACAGAGAAAGAAAGGGGGCGGCAGGGTGGAATAAAGAAAGCAAAGAGGTAAAAACGAACCTGCTGTCAAACCCGCAACAAGACCCCTTATACTCCCGGTCAGAGGTTTTCAAAATAAAAGTCTCTAGCACAAGCAGTACAATGCGTTTAAAGACGTGGAGTTACTGTCATCCTGGGGACATCTCAGGGTGAGACACGGATCTGAAGGTCGTTAAAAGAATTGTTTGACATTCTGGGAGATATGTTTATTTCCTTTCTGGTGGAGGGTTACATGAGATCATTTGTTACCACTTTCATGTTTGCAGTGGTGGAAGATGTACTTATGTAAAAGTAGTAAGAATGCAGTATAAGGTTCAAGGTTCAAGGATTTTATTGCCAATTCACCATATGTGCAGGACATACAGAAAATCGAAATACCGTTTCTCTCTCACCTAGTATTGGGTGCCATAACATTTAGGAACTAAAACTGAATTAAGTAGAATAGAATAGAATAGAATAAGAATCGGATTAACGTAATTAGGATAAATCTAAACGGTATATCCAATAAGCTGTGGCTCAAAACTGTGTACAGTCAGTGACAGTAGTGCAAACAATAACAGGAGATTGTCAGATGGTTCAGCATCACCAGGGTGTTGGTGATGAGGTGCAAATAGCATATGAGGTACGGTATACATGGCCAGTATTGCAAATGACCAACAGCAGCAGATATCCTGGCAAAAAAAAAAAAAAACTGTCACTAGCAGATTTACATATAATATAACAGAAGGTATAACAATGGTATAAAAATGGTATAAAGGTATAAAAATAATCTGTGACAAATAAAAGTACTGCATTAAAAGTTTTATTCAAATAAAAGCACAAGACATTTGCATCAAAATATACATGAAGCAGCAAAAGTAAAAGTAGTCATTATGCACATTTCAAATTAATGTCTATTACTGGATTACAATTGTTGATGATGTAACGTTGGGGGGTTAGGGAAATGAGAGGGAGGGAGGGAGGGAGGGTGTGGTGGGCCCAGCAGTCATAACATACATGCATATGGTCACACACACACATGCGCAGTATTCACTCAACCACAACATACATGCTTACACACACACACACACACACACACACACTTATTTAAAATAAAAAAATCATTTTCCTCTATCCCTCCTGGGGGTCCCCCAGTGCCTTGCAGATTTACATAACTTTTCCCCAAAACCTTAAGTGTACAAGCACCTCATAAGCATTTCCACATTTCCCCCGTTTCCATTGTGAGGACAGGTCCCAGTCAGTGAATTAGTACTTCTAAATAGACTACTCCTCCTTAGGTCTGAACCAGGTCAGTTCTAGGCTATGTTCAAACAGAAAGACTAAAAGAAAAACACAGCCTCATTGACTAGAATGTGAATGAGCTTAATCAGTTTCCACTCCAGTGTTTTTGTTTTGAAAAACGCCGTGACAGCGGAAGCAACGTTCTAACCAGCTTCCCGTAGCTTGTCAGACCTGCTAGATGGAAGAGCAAAGGACCGCTGGTCCCCATGTTGGCTTTCCGACTGGAATAGTTAGCAGCTGGTCGGAGTGAAACAAACAACTTGCCATTCAAACTAAGGGGGCGGGTCTGCAGTGGCGCGTAGCATCATGGGAAATGAGGTTTTCTATGTTGTTTTATCTATTCAGGTAGCCAATGCAGTGCAGTATGTTCATAGAAACATCACGTCTTTATATTAGCCTACATGATTTAGTAGCACAAGATAAAGACCAAGGCTGACTATTTATCTAAAATAAATAAGTGAAAAAGATAGTTAAAAAATTGGCAAATTACCTTAAAAGTTATATTCATTATAGCCTGTTACATTAACTGACATTTTGCCCCAGAGAGCAATTTTGAAATTGTTTGAGGTGGTACAGTCAGCTGTTACACTAGCCATTACCTTTCCACAATGTAAAAAATCCTATTGATCAGCTTTTTTTGTTCATCTTGTTTGAAATCTATTGACATAGATGAGCGTAGTAGAAAAGGACTATGCACCTTGTTTCATGAAGGAGTCAAAGTAAATATTGTTTCTTGACAGATTGTCTTTGCTGCATACTGCTGTATAAGAGGCCAGTCTTGACCATCTTCCCCTTGTCAAACCACTGTTCTGAGGAAAGGTGTTGAGGGGTGTGGTTAAATTCACAGTAATTGGCACACAGTCACATTTCCAGTGTCTCTAAAATCCATATGTGTGACTGTTCCCTGTTGTGATGCTGTGATGGAAACACATTAACAGCTTGCAACAGCACTGTGTGATTAACAAGGATCATGCTGGGCTTGAGGAAAAATGGCCTTTGATTAGCTGCATTCTGAAAAGTGCTCTTCACATGTACAACAGTTGCAAAGGGAGAGTTCTTCACTATTCCTACTTTTGTCCTCTCATCTGCTGTATTGGTTGTTTTCTGTGATGTTCTTGGTTATTCATAATCACCAAGCTGCTGAAGTATGCAGCATAGTTTATTTTAACACGTAGTTTTGGCCACGTCTGACTGATTGTCCCTGATTTGTCTGTCCCATAATTACTTACTCTGCAGGCACTGACTGTTAGGTTTCAGGCAAGGGAAGGACCCAAATCTGCAGACGCAAGCCAAGGCAGAGATTGATAGGATTTTAATGCAACACAAAACAAAAAACAGGAACAAAATACAAGGTTCAACCTGACATAATGAAACAAAAAGTACAAAGCTAGGTCAGGTAGCTGAGTACAAATGAAAACCAAACCAATATACTTTAAAAATACTTCTGGTTCCATCACATAAGCAGGCACAATTCTACTGGACCTTTGTCCCACCACTTCAAGAATTGCTTTGCCTCAAAGGCTACAGTTCTGCATTTCATTTAAAAGTCATAAACCACTTCCCTGTCTAACAAATCACAGAAGCACTGTGATGTTAAGTGATTCTAGCTGAAGTCTTCTGTCACTATAACATTTCCAGCCAACACTAATTGCAAGAACAATTATTTGTAACAGCCCACAAGTAAGTATTAATTAAGCAAACAAAGACAGGAGCTCTGCAAACACACAGTGAGATAATTATCCACATACTTTATCTGAAGCGGAAAAAAGTGCCTCCCTTGTGACAGGCAAATTGTATTGCTAATCTGCTGATGGGAAAGAAAAAGCAAACAGCTCCCTGTACAAATAAATACACAAACAATTATATAATGACCCAGTATACACAATAGTTAGTACCACTGAGGCACTGGAAGTCCTGAATACAATAATAATGTTTGATTGTGCTTTATATGTAAAGCTCATGTGACAGATGAGGTACTGTAGGAGTAGAGAAAAAAATTAACATTAACTGATTTCCTTTTAGTGACATTCCACTTGAATAATAATAAATAAATAATAAATCATAAGTAATATTAAATCATAAAGCAATAATAGAAAAATACAAAAGCTGTCAAATTAATCTGTGCATGTTGACAGACACCTCCTCCATAGTTATCACCTATTTGAGCTCATCATTGTGGCTGAGATGTTTTTGTACATCTCTGTTGGAGCAGACTGAAAATATTTAACACTGGTTATCAAAGATAACCTGAGCAGGTGAAGTCATTCAGATATATCATCATTTATTTCTTACAGATATGACACTTCCATAACAGGCCAATATACAATAATTAACTCCAACTTGAATATGGAACTCAGGTCTGTTTAGAGTATTCCCATTTGGAAGCAGGAGTATTTTCTGGCATTGTGCCTGTAAGTGAATTAATAGATCTGAACTCAGCAGCAGTGCACTGTCACAGTTTTAATAGGTTCTCTTTAGCAGTGGTCCCTGTGTGCTTTATTGTTTAACAATCACCTGATGGCCATTAGGGTGGTATATTTATGCATTGGGATAATTATATTTTTTATTACACTGCCCAAAAACATTAAAGGGCTTCTGCTTCAATCATCAAGGTCTCACAGCCATTAGGATACACACTTTTCCCTTTAGCTGTATAATCACAGCTGAAGGGAAAATTGTTTAATCCTTAAATGGCCACATTTAAAGGTGAGGTGAAAAGTTTATCATCGGGGGTGTTAACAGAGCTTGGTACAATATTGAGTGTTTGAAATTATGTCTCATGATCAGCTATGTTGTCTTTGTGATACGTTATGCTTTTTAGACACAAAGTACAGAAACGTTCCACAAAGTGTGACACAACCCTGCCCAGACAACTTGGGGAGGTATTTCGCCACCTGGCCTTGATAAAATACTTTAGTATTAACATTTCTGATAATCTATTCTTATATTATCTGGTAGTGCTATTCTATGTGAATGTTTGACATGCAGACAAAGAAAGAATTATTCTAGAGAAACTTCATTTACATTACATGTCCATAATTGTAAAATAATATAAATAAATATGATTAAATCTTGTTAATCTGCAACAGGTTGTGTGTAATCTGATGCATTTTATATGAAAGTATTTCCAGATGGCAACATAAAAAGCCATGCCAACCACCACAAATGTTTGAAGTGTGCTGTGCAGCCAGGACCTGGACAAACAGGATAATCAGGAACCCCTAGTGGATCCATGAAATGTTCTTGCTTCTGAGTTCCAATAATATGCAGTGACAAATTTCGGAAGCACTTCCACAAGTTATCAGTGTGGCTTGTCACCACAGTATAATATTGGCAAAGGACTACAGGGAAATTGCGGAGCTTTTGTATCTCATAGAAACACTTCTGGCTGTCAACTGCCCATACCCAGTTGTGTAATGTATAGTAGCCCACAGGAGTTTGATTTCTGACTATAACATGCAATCTGTGGCTTTATCCAGTGGAATAACTTCAGACATGCAGCAGCTTCTGAGCAAAGAGGTCTTTACTGTGAAAACTTCCATTTAATACCTTAAAAACAGTGGATGCCTTTTAAAGTTTTACTGAAAGAAATTGTGAAACTGTAAAAACAACAAGCAAAAGTGCATCAGCAGTGCAACCAAACAGCCAGCGCTTTTATATGGATAATCTTTGTAGAATTTTAGTGAATATATGAGTGTACCTGGGTGTATGAATCATCAGAAATTTTCCAGAAATAATCTAAGCAAGTGTGGAGAGTCAGAGATTTGGCCTTTGCACAGAGGTTATAAGAGCAATCTTTCAATCTTCGATTTAATTAAATGAGTTTGTGGGTGGGAAATATTATCCTTGTTAAAATAAGAGAAAAAAGTTTAAGTGCTGTGAAAGCACTGAGTGACCTTTGCATGTGTGGAGTTTGTGCACTGCTGCTAGGTGTCTCTTAAGAAGCAACAGAATCATACGAAATGGAGGACAGGTCTAAGATATAATCTCTTCCCCATGACCTATCTTGAGAACAATCAGTGTTAGCAGGGCTCAGCCAACGTCTTAGGAGTACCATCCTCCACCAGTGCACACAACTGAACTGTGCAAACACCATTCTTCACAGCTGAGTGGACTTATACACAAAAATAAAATGCCAATGCCTGGTATTTAATTTGACAGGTTATATAAGTATTGACAGTAGCTATTAATCATGAGTCATTGTGTTTGAAAAATGTCAAAATGATGTAATCATTTCATAAAAACAACTTTTAATTCTACAGTGCCCATGAGACCCAGTCACCGCTGACATGGAGAAAATGTCAGTAAGGGTTTTGAATTAGAGCTGTAGCGAAATCTAAACTTTTTGTTGCTGCAATTGAAAACAAAATGCCAGAGGTGCTGAATTCACCCACAACAAACCCAGAATTTAAAAGTGAATTGCTTTAAGCTAATTAGTACACCTTCATCTTTAGCTTTCACCTCCCATTAGCAGTATGTGTAACAGAAGTTTAAGCTCTATGATTCATCTTGCACCTTGGGAATTGTAGGTAATGTCTGTCTTTTATGTACACATGCTTGTTTCTTGAACTTTTATAAATAAAAAACAAACAAACAACTGATGCTTTCAAACTATGAATCACATATTATTGTCTATAGGAAAAATGAATTGGACTTTTACTTCCAGGGACAACCAAAGTATATCCTCCTGCTTGTAGCTGTGTTAGACAACGGTCAGAATGAATTTGTTTAATTGACTCTACTTGGATAAAAATTGAAGCAGATTTTCTTTCAAAAAGGTACTGAAACAAAGTTTGAGCCACATCTGAATGTTTTAGTTACTGTTGTTGTGGATACCAGTTTTGGTCTGTTCTCATTTTGATAGCTTTTTTTATCATTTCTGTAGATTTGTGTTATTTTGTTTTTCACTGTTGCTTCACTAATCTACAGATTTTTGGCTAGTCAAGTCCTTTTAGTTTGTTTGGTTCAGATTTATTGATCTACCTGATGCAATTGCTGTTTGTTTAATTTGCTGTTTTAGTGGACCCCAGGAAGACTAGTGACTGTTCTCTAGGAGCTAATGGGGATCCCATACAAAGAATGACGAGTAAAGAAAATGAGCTTATTAAACTCAGTTTCACATTTCACTTTGATTACCTTATTTTTTTTATTGTTGCATCCATTTTGTGACAAGCTGTAATGTTCCTCTTTTTCTTTTTATGTCTTGAGTCAGCGTCATCAGAGTTCAGCTGCAGGATAACAGGCTATCAGAGCCACTCATTCATCATTTTATACTTTTTCCATTTGTTATATGGCTGAAGGCTCAAATTTCCTCATTTTCTATTGTGCTCAAAGACATAAATCACAAATTCAACATGTCCTAAAAACACTCCTTTAAATAAAAGGTAAATAGGCATTCTTTACAGTTCTATATGTATCCTTCTCTTGTGGCTTGTAAGGCAAAATGCAGTACAGTCACTTGAAATCATAAAAGCATATTTGTGAATTTTTTCTCTTTGCTGTTTAGTCAAGTTGGATTTTCCTAACTGATGTCATATAACAATTGTAGTGACGTTATTAGCAGTAACAGTACTAGCACGCATTTTGAGTTGAGGTGGGCCTTGAAGGGATGAGCAATGATTCTAATGATGAAAAATGAGAACAAAACCTGATTTTCATTTGCATTTAGCCATGTGAACAAAAGCCTAACCATACTGATTTTATTACAAGATGCTCTAAGAGTTGATATGTGTAAAGATTTTGTCTTGTCTCATCAGGTAGTATTACAGACCATGCCAGACATAATTGTAGACTGTGTATGAGCTCTCAGTATTTATAAGAATCATTCTTAGTAGGCATTAATTATATATTGTGATTTACAGTTGTTTTCAGAAAAGAGTGTCAATGTATGATTAAAAGGAGGGTGCTCTTCTACTGTCTCTTTGTTTGTTAATGAGAAGGTCTAATTTCTGTCTAATTTTGGCAAAATATGCATTTTGAAGATTTACTTTCTCTTCTTACATTTTGATGTACATAACCTTGTACCTTGACTTTTAATCAAAGAACCTGACATTGTCTAGTGCAGTTGTTTTACTTTTTGTATTGATGATTTATCCAAGAGAGAATATTTCCAAGATGTTCTTCCGAGCCTTGGAAGTGCTCTATAGTCAGTCAGTCAATAATACACAATTAAATGTTCCAAAGAATGGGAGAGCATTCATATGGAAGCACAGTATATAAGTTTATCGATGTTTATCCATTTTCTGGCCCCATAATGTGAAAGACGGACCAATGGACATGAAGTAACTTAATAACCTGCCACATCTGTGGAATCACAAACTGTAGGTGCTGATCAGTAAAATAGCTTCCTCCACCAAAATATCCCTTGCTCAGGAGTTGAATTAGCCGCTTGATGTGTTTCACTATCGTCTTACATTCAGTGACGTTCTGTCTCTGACATTAGTGCTTCTCAGAAGAAACAGGTTTATGAATCATATTCATATACAATCCAGTGATTTAACATTAACTTTCCTTTCAGTTGAATATCTTTTGAGCAGCATGACACTGTGTGAATAAAGCATTGTTTTCCACAAACCTCACAATAGATGAGAACAAAACGTGTAACCATGGTAACTGCACTACACAACCAGGATGAAGATATAGCCTACAGTAAATATTAAAAATACTAAAAAATATTTTGTTTGTATTGACTAAAATTAATATGCATTTTGCCAAAGGACAAAGACTAAGACTAAATCAAATTCAGGTGTCAAAATTGTCACTGCTGTAGGCTAGTTAAAGTTCAACTGATCATCTGAGGCAAGCTTGTGGAGACAGAGTTCATACTCTTAATGATAATGGGTTGCATTAGGAGATGAGGACACAAAAGTCACACAGAAAATTGATTTTCCTTTGTTCCCTGCACCTGAATCACAGCTGTACAGCCTTCTGGTTTTCTGCAAGAATAATCTGACTAAAGGCACAAAAAGGAGATCTGTATCTTCATGAACCACTTGAAAAATGGCCCTGAGAGCTCAATGCGATGCAGAAGTGGTATTATGGTCGTTTTTGATCCATCTTTATAGATATTTTAAACATATATGTGACATTTTATTCAGCCAAAGCTGTTTAGATTTCTCCAAGTCCTTCTTTACAAACAACCCAGATTCTCCACTGTCCACTAGTAGCTGTTTCAGACGTTACTAACACTTATTCCAATTGGCTGGAGGTGATGTCCCATGTTCACCCTCAGCCAATCAAAACCGGGCCAATAAATCTAATGGTCAGGTTGCTCTTAACTTGTATAACGGCTGCAGCTGGAAACATAAGATAGTAGAACATATAGAGATAAGAGACTAGATGTTTCAACTGGATACTTCAGAGCAGTAGGACAGTGTTTAAGTTTCTTAACAAAGTTACAGTCACATAGTCAGACAGAGTTTAGCAATATGACAACAGAGGAGGACTGTCATCACTCTGATCCATCTCAAAAATTGATTATTTGTTTTGTGTTACATTATACAGTAAAGCAGTTCATGAAAATGTTTTTAACAATTTGACAATATATATGCAGCATAACAAAATGTTAGCATGTTGCTGTATTTGGTTACATTTTCTGTATTTGCAGAACATTCTGCTATGTTGCATGTGTTGCACGTGTCAAAATTATTCTCGAAATGCGGTTTTGTTTCGTTTATGCTATATTTGGAGTGCTTTCTAAATGATGTGCACATGCCAAATTTGTGAAGAATTTTAAAAGTTGTTTATGTTATGTTCTTCATTTAAAATCAATGCACATAACATACTGTATTGAAACAATTCCTTACAATAATTCACATTGTTGAAAAGCATGCTATTGAAAAAACAGAAATAGAAAGAAGGAAAGGCAATAGCTGTCCATTTGACATAGGGTTGAAATATAATTTGGAACAATGCATTGATAATCATATATATTCAGCAAACCAAAATAATGCAAACAAGTGCCTGAGTGTTAATAAAGAAACAAAATAACAAAGGAGAGATTTTAATTCACATCAAATCACGCATCCACACTTCAACATAGCAGCCAAACAGGCAACGCGATATTGTTCAAAGGTACAAAATGTTGTCCAGAAGAAAGACTTATAGCATAATCTTAGAGCATCCACAATTGTATAATTTGTTATTTTAAACAGAAACAGTATCAAACATTAGGCAAAGTCATCTTATGACAAAACATATGCATGCAGTTTTGTATCATTTTTTTTTATAATATTGAGCTTGCATACAAAGGCAGACAGATTACAAAATCAAAATCACACATTTTTATTTATTACATATTCATAAGAGAAAGAGATCACCTTTGTAATACTGAGATGCCAACAAGGTTGCACAGGCGGTTTTTCGCCTAGAGAGGCTGTTAAATCTTTAGGAAAACAAAGATGTGAGGCCTGATATGCATTAAACATTTCATTCCCCAGCTACGAATGCGTGATGTTTGTCAGAATCTAATTTTCTTCCAAATGACTTGGATGTATTATGAAAAAGAATGCACCAGTTCAAATAAAACTATGGTTTTAAATGATATAACAAATGGACATGAAGTCTGTTTGTAACTATCCACCAGCTGTGATTAGGTTGAATTTAAACAGTCAGCCACATTGACAGATTCAGCGTGTCCCTAAAAACAGTGGCTAGTGATGCAAGGTAATAACAAAAAGCTCTCATCTGAACTGCAGGCCTGACAGGAATTCAGAACATTAAGTGAGGGCTTTTTGTATGGCGCTTCTGTGTTACCAGTCAGTGCGTGGTGGAAAATTACAAAAAAAAGGTTGGGGCATGCAGAGAAGGTCATATCACAGAAATGAATGAATACAATCACAAATACAGTACATAGAATGCATTCCAGCCTGCTGGTCCATAAGGACAACTCAAGTTAAGAGACTTGGGGGTAATAAAACTTAACTTAAAATATTTAATAAATAAACTGAACAGGTGAGTAAAAAATTTAGTTATGACTTGAGTGACATAACCCCTGGTGGTGGTTTGCTCCTGGGCTGTGAATTCAGTCATCTCTCTTCCAAGATATGTGCATCCAATTACACAGCTTAAGATTTGACATATGAACAATATCAACAACACAGGGCAGTAGGTGCACATTCTCAGGGGATTTACTGTGGAATAGAAGAGGTTTAAACATGTACATTCAGCTTGTTACATTTGTAGTGGAGATGTTTACATAAAAAACTCAACAATACACATACACGGCTAATATATTTAAAAAAAAAAAAGTGCCTTTCTCTCCCGGGCCCAGCTTAGCAAAGCTTGCATTGCACAATTGAACAATTGCAGTGACTCCAGCAAGGGCGACTTTGCCCTTTCAGCAGCAAACTTGAACTTCAGCAACAATACTGCAGGCTGTTGTAAACAATACATGCTTTTATTATTAGTTTTATATTTGACGTAAACTTTTCATTTTTAAAATTCTGCCCTTTTGACATACAGCCGGAACATTTTCAGCCACATTACAGTTGAAAATGTTATCAGTGAGTTTTAGTGAAAACTCATTTTTTGTATTGTAAACAATAAGCTGCACAAACACTATAGAGCCATCCAGCATTGTGGTGCTGCAGCTTGGCAGGTGATTTTCACCATTTGGGTCACCCACTGTATTTCATTTTGTTGTTGTCTGCAGCTGGTTTCTACCAAAACAGGCTCTGCCTTCCACACACTGAAGTAGGACTATGTGATTAATGTGGATAGTGGCTGTGAATGTTTCCACTTCTCTGCTGAAGTTATCCACTGGTCACCAGAATTATTGGGTGCTATGTACTTTATGCTTCCACAACCCACTTCAGCTTCTGATTAAACCCAGGCTCACCACAGCTATTATTCAATTATGTTCCTTTTGCACTCACTCGACTGACCGTCTGTTCCAGTTTGAAGCCACGACAACCTGCTAACACCCTGCTAACACCCTCCACAGCTGTTTCAAAGAAATGTTATCTTGAAGTTCTACTGTTTTGCTAATGTTTACTCTTAAAAAATCTGCAAAAATCACCTTTGACAACAGACGGGCTGCCAGCTGAGTGAAAACCTTGTACGTGTGATTCATCCACCAGTTCTACTTGAATTTTAAATACATACCGGATTTAGCAGTGCTTTTGCACTGTAAAAAAGAAATCAGCTATTTTGTAATCAAGAAATGATGAGAGAATGGATGAAACATTTGTAGAACCTTGACATCATTACCACAAAACTAGGCAGCTCTACTGTAAATACTACACTGAAAAATCAGTGAATAACCTAAGCAGATGGTGCCATGACACCTAGCACTGTCTCATATTGATTAGTCTACACAGAGACACCCACAGAATCAGAGTTTTTAATGTTATGAATATTTGCTGTAAGTAGTGTTGAGAAGGAGTTTAGGAAATGTTGATTTTTGCATTGGTTTATTTAGTTCATGCTGGCCAGTTTGCTTATTAGATAGAAATTTGTAGAGGCCTGTCATTCTGCCAGTTTACAAATGAGCCATCACTCACCCTTAAATCATCAAAGCTTAATTTGCCTGCATCACAATTAACTGCTGACATTTGCCTCCATGTACACACAAAATCCTGCATTATGGGCTTGTTTTATGTTGTTGATGATGGGACATTCTGCCTCTCAACAAACTGCATTGCTTACTTGTAAGAGGACCAAGGACCTCCGTAAACTTCAAACAAATTGCATATTGTATCATCTAATAGTAGAATTATACTGCTGTGTTAATGGGTTACGACATAGCTGCAGAGGCTGTGGGCATCCTGTAGCTGACTATACCTCTGTAAAGGTCCAGCTATATGTTCGGTTACGGCAGCTACAGTACACACCAGGTGAGCCTGCCTGGGGTATGTTTTCCTTTTCAAGTTTACCAGTTCAGCAGTCTAATGTGTAAAATTCCAATCTGTTGTTGACCCATCAACCTCCCAGACATTGACCCTCTGTGAAATTTGTGCCTCTATATTGTCATTATTACCTTAGATGTCAGTGGGAAAGTGTCATAATTCCTGCAGCTGCTAGAAGTATTTTTCATTTAAACACAACAACGTAGTACTTTTTCTTGGAGAACAGTCTCAATCTAGTTCATTTGAAGCATATTCAGGTCATAATTTGCACAATATTTTAAGGAGGTTCTGTTGTTGTCCTGTTGAGTGGCAGCCAACTTACACGAGTGGTAAATGGCAGCAGGGCCTAACAGTTTTACAGTCATATCAAAATGCAGCATCTTTAGATACTGAATGGGGCTGATTCAATTACTTAACTCCAACCCTATAACACTAAATATTAGTATCAAACAAACAGAATATGGGAGATTTATTTGAGAAGATGAGATCCAGTTCATAAACTTTCTCTGCATACTCCACCAATATGAAATTATGCTACATCCTTTGTAAGAGTCTCCACTCTTTTACACCTATCTCCTACAGGTCTACTCAGATAGCCACCAAGGTGACAACTAATTATTTAGCTACTGTAAAAGACCTATTCAAATAGCAAGCTTTTGTTCCTTTTATTTTCACTGACCATAAAAGAAATTAGAGTTTTAAGGTGTAAAAATTCAACGCTATAGCCCCTGTGATTCATTTTGATGACTGAATTTCTCTTAAAAGGAAAATAAATGAGCAGCCATCTGATTTCTGTTTTACATGAGAAAGTGTTATTGAACACAAGCAAAAGATTTTAGATATTTTTAGTTGAGCCCTGTTTTGACAGGAAATATATTCCCAAAGAGAGGTGTAACAGGTTGCTGTGACCAACATGAGGAAAAATCCAGAGAAGAAGAGCTGGGTGGAGGAGTTAGGAAAGTGAAGGAGTCCTGTCTGGTGCAGCCATGGAGAAACAGGGGTTGGGGGCAGGTTTGACAGCAGAACATGGGTGTTCAGTCATTTAATGAACCAGGTAATTCATTGGTCAGTGTGTGCCAACGCTCAATTTTTTTGTCCTTGTTTTTGAGGCAGTCAAACCAGTGTCTGAGCCTCTCTCCATTTGCATTGATACCCAGAGATACACCACCTGAAAGAAGGCACAAGGTTACTTTGTAGGAGAGTTACAATATGTCACATTGTAAAATCATTTATCTCATTTTATTTTAATTTTTTTACGCTTATATTTAACTTTTATTTAACCAAGGAGATCCCACTGAGATTTACAACCTTTTCCAAGGGAGCCCTAACACAATGGCAGCATGAAAACTTTTCATATAAGAAACAAACAAAATACAATACAAAAATCACTCAACCACATTACATTTTCAATAGGCTGCAAAGACATTTAAAATGTCGATGTCTTATTGCAGCAGAAAACCACTGAAACAGATAATGGTGTTATAAATGCTATATTGGATAGCATGGTTTAATATGACATCCTTTAAAGATTGTTTATAAGATGCATTTATCCTGACAACAGCGCTAATCACTTCTTAAGAGTATGGCAAAACCAGCTTAAATCAAGGTTCACTTAGTGACTTTTGCTAGACAACATTTCTGTAGCTGGACGTGAACCATTTGTTTAGCTTATTTTAAAGTATGAATGAGCGAGCTCAAATTTGTACCAGGCTTCTTTCTGAGTCGTCCTTTCCCTAATGTTTTCCCTTAATCGTGTTTTTATCCCAGAATGAATTGATGCACTTGGTTTTCAAAGGGATAAAGCTTTGCATTCCATACTAACTGTAAAAGGCAGTGCTTTGACACACATTTTGGCAGTCCAGCTAGCTCTCTGCATGGCTCAGTGCTAGCTCATTTCCCAGCCCAAGAAAGCACTGGACAGATGGCAGATTCAGCTGGACAGAAGGCCAGTGGTGCTGCTGATACCGATAAATATCAGTCAAACTCTTTAAACTCAACCCACATTGTCGTCATCTCTGTACAAAGCAGAGCTGGTCTGTACTTACTACTTACCTATAAAATCATTAGACTTTCCAATGTCATAGTCCCATACGGTCACCTCCAGGGTCTTCTTGGTGAGGTCTGCATATTTTATGTCATAACAGAACTCCTGTAGAGAACAGAACAATAGAAATTAAGAGCTCCAGCAGTTATGCTCCAGTATCATCACATACAATTTAAATTACATTTCTTTTCAGATTACCACAAAGGATAAAGCCTAAAATGTGGGTTTAAATGGCTTGAACATTTTGAATAAGTCTATTTTTTTCACCACAAAACACTTCTCTGCATGGTGTTGGATTTCCATCACTATCAATATAGACCTGAATATAACTGACATTTGTTTCATTCTGATGAAAGTGATTCGCATAATTCTGAGTGCCTCATTGAGTTTTAATTATTTTTGTTAGTGCCTAAAATAATATTCAGGTTAATGTCAGTGTAGTCGCTACCTTTTCTCGCTCTCAGGGAGTCATTCAACACATGCACAACATTCAGTCAGTTCTATTAGTTCAGGACATTTAGACAAACCCATTTCACACAGCGCCATAGTGTTTGTAGTATGTTGATTGGAACACAGAGGAAATAAAATATTAAATACATACTAGGGCACTTTAATGGAGTGACAGTGAAATCAATAAAGAACACTGTCTAATAAACGAAACAAGCATTTTTTCTAATATTAATTTTCACCATGCAAAATGAGAGCATTCATTCTGTGTGTGCAATCTGTGGTTCAATCAAGGTTACTGCCCCACCTTAATGAAATGAAGGCCTCGATATGGAGGAAGACCCCATTGCTCATCTCTGACAGAAAAGTCAAGAGGTGACTGAGGAATATGGCCTCAAAAAATGTCAGAGGAAATGTCAAGCCAGAGGGCTGTGTGAGCTCTCCATTTGTGTACAGGTGGAGCCAAGATAACCTGTGCCATGAAGCACCAAGGGACCCACTCAGCCTTGCAGAAAGGTTTGGCATCCCTCTGCTAAAAATGGATAGGTCTTCAGGGAATTTAGAAATACATTTCTGATTTCAACAGTATTCAGAAACAATAGCCTTGGTTACATTAGAGGTGTTCAGCTGTGAGAATGAGCTGCTCTGCTTAAGTTTAGAAGAAACTAGTGCTATGTTAAGCCCCTTATTTTAAACCTGCATTAACTGCATTTTTAGGACCATTTGGGCTGGTGAACCCACAAAATCAGTAACACCAGGCCTAATACATGCATGCACACACATACATACATACAGTACACACATATAAATCCAACCCACAACTGTTATCACATTTTGATGCAGAAATTGCTAAAGCCCACTCAGGTTGGTGAAAATAGTATAAGAATCACCTGAAATAACTGAAGTGTGTTTTTGAGTAGGACACCGCTGCTCATAGTGATTGAGAAATATGTTTTAGGTCCTTTTTACAGTATAACACTTCTTCTGACACAGTTTTAAATAAGATTTCTAGGCTGATACATCAACATTTGCTTACATCCCAGCCTTTGGTGGGATACATCAAAGATTTAGAGTGAATGAACAGAAGATGTACCAAAACGTCAAAAGACACCTGAGCTACGTCTTCAACAACAAACATTTGGCTGATGATGATTGTTGTGACATATTCTACCAACAATTAAGACTCATGTGCTTCTGTTCAATATGAAAGCCATACCCTCTCAGAATGGCTTTTGTAGGTCAACACATAAAAGCATAGGATGTAAAAGCAAAAGGTGGGGGTAAGAAAGGTTTGTGGAAAACACAGGGTTTTAGTGCAACAGCTGTGGTTTTATACCTCGTTGAATTCAGGATTGAGTGTCTTCTTTTTCACAGCAGTCTTGTGCTTTGACTTTTTGTTCTCGTCAGGCTTCAGGTACCTGTAGCAGAGCAAAGCAGGGGACAGAGGCTTTTACAGTACTGACCTCAAAGGTTTTACTCCTGCCTGTTCTTGTGGATGGAAGAGCAAAGAGAAAATATGACACATCTACACGTATAACATGATGCTGATGTATTATGTGCAACCCTCAACTATACAATGTAAAAACATCAACATTTTTCAGGTGTCATATTGTTCTGTCCTCCAGAGGGTGCTGTGGTACTGCCCTACATTCAACCACACAGTTGCATTACATTACACACTCTACATTGTATTACTACATTTTCTGACTTTACAGTATCAGACTCCACCTGTGCTTTTACTGTATTAAAGGAATTTTGTCTGTCCACTTCATCTTTATTAAGACTGATGCACAAAACTTTATCAGTTTAAGTATGAAATTTCATTTTAGTGTGTTTGTGATGAGATTACAGAGTTGAAGGCACCTCACCTCATAACAACAAGACATTTCCAAAGTCAGTCGATATGCCCACTGCATCACAGCAGTACAGGTCTTCAGTATACAGCTCATATAAAGCCTAAATCCTGATTCTTCTTGGTATGGTATGAAGCTCTATGGGTTTGATCTGTTAGAACTTTAGAATTGTTGCTGCTTTCTGTTGTGGGCTTTCATTTTATATATTTGTGAAGTGGTTTGTGTCAATCAGTTGCCAGTATATTAGGTACACCTTGTCAAAACTGCTTCAGTCTGATGCAATAGCCCTGCAATAAATCCAACTTTGACAGCAGTTATAAAGTTAAGGTTTTATTTGAACTGTTTTAGAGAGGCTTTAATTTGCACTGAGTTTTGAAGCCATTGCTGCTGTTGAATTGTTTTCAAATTTATTTTCAATGATTCATACATGCATAAATATGACCTCTCTTAGCATAATGTAATACAAGTCAACAGTACCATAAATTGAATCCACAGCTTTCTAAAACAGTTTCAGCCATAGCAGAATGTTAACAATCTATTCCAGAACCGTATTAGGCCACATTAGCTTTGGTTCGGTGCACTGTCCTGGTAGTGTTCCCCAAACATACAGGATGCCACTGTGGCTACTTATCAGTTTCTGTTTGTATCCACAGCAGTCTCAGAGTTAGTGGTGAAAACAGATCATTAGTGCCACTGTTACTCTGGGTACAGGCATACTGCATGTGCTTATGAATGTACAGCCAATGTGTGTGTGTGTGTGTGTGTGTGTGTGTGTGTGTGTGTGTGTGTGTGTGTGTGTGTGTGTGTGTGTGTGTGTGTGTGTGTGTGTGTGTGCATGTGCAGGCTGGACCTTTGTTTTCTGTTTTGTGTTCATAAATGATGCAACTGGCAGGCTGTGCATATATCAAACTCTGCGTACTGAATGTTGTTTAATACCTATGTTCATTTGGCAAAAGACAGTTTTGGGCAATAATGCTCATTCTGATGTGGCATATTTCAATCCACTAGGCAATTACAGAAGCTTATCACATCCCTCTTCCCTTTTATGTGCTCACTGGACCCACACAGACTTCAATTTCCCACGGTAACTCAGAGAGTTAAAGGGAGGCTAAGTGGGTTATTGCTCGCAAATGTACCCCAGGGGGAACTGGGTCTGAAACTGTTGTTGATGAGGATTTTGCAGTGAACCTAACTGTCATTTTGTAATTGGACTACTGACCCTTGGGCAAAACAAGCAAAGTATGAAAGCTAGGATGCAAACAATGCTACTGTGCAATACAGTGGATTTAAATGCTGTTTTACTGCATGAACTGCTGCAGTTTTGTAGTACCGTCATTACTGTGCTTTTGTTCAGTGACTGTGCATTAGAGTGTGGATACTCAAACCGAGACTGATGGGACCTGTCGGTACCCGAGGGCTTGGGCTGGGTTCGGACAGAAAACATCTATGTTTGATGAAATACGCTGGTAGAAAGGAATTTAATCTGTCAATTCTCATGACATACTCCACACCTTGACTACTGTCAGTCCACATTTCGTAATCATTTTATGAATAGTCCCAAAATTACAAACACCACATAGCAAAAACTTTACTGTTCAGACAAGAGCTGATGCACCAGAGAGACTTGTGCCAGATATCGACTAGCAGAAGAGGAGAAGAGTCATGCAGCCAATCATGTCTATCTTTCAGAGTGTACATTTCTTTTATTCACTCTCACATGAGCCAGACAGTAAAGCTATTATCTGCCAGTGTGTCCTTCAAGCTTCAGCAAAATTTTGGAAAATTGTTGCCAGGCCCTCTCCTCTGAAACAAGTTGTGCTTTTGTTCCCGAGGTGTGCACAGCAGAATCGGAAATTAATTGCACTTTCATTGCTCAGCCAGATGAAAGACTTGGGAAATGTTCAGGTGTGATAAATAGGACCATCCCACAAATTGCAGCCCTGCAGATGGCCTCTTTTTGCCCTGTCTTTCATGCTGCTGATAATCACAGTTAGTCTACCTCTTTTCTTCTACAACATCAGCACTGCCATTTAATCCATTTCAGCACTTCTACAGTGCATTGTACAGCCACTAAATACGGCATTACTACAACAAGCATCTGGTGATTTTGATAGGAAAGGCTCTGCAGCGTTGATTTTGGAACCTGGTTTAAATGTAGTTTTTAATGTATTGACACCTTGTGCATTCATTTGAGATAATTGTAGCCATTTATTTCTTTATTTTTACTTGATATGAACTGAAGATATTTTAGTCTAGTTTTTCTCTTTGACATTTTAGCCTCATTTGTGTCCAGCATTTTGAGGCTACATTTGTCCACCATCTTTGTAGTGTACAGTTACCATGGTTACAGGTGTTGTTCTCGCCAGAAAGGTTTGTGGAAAACACTTTGTGCACACACAGTGTCCACAGGTGGCTCTGCTCTGCACAGCAGCGAGTGCTTCAGTAGCTGCATTCACTCACATCTTGATTTTACAGATACATTTTTAATCCTTGTTTAGCTGGGATAAGAATCCCTGAAACCTCACTTTCGAGGGTGGCCTGGCAAGACAGCAGTATTCAAGTTATAAATAGATGATCATAAATAAGTACATTTTTTTAAACAACTTGCAGAATAAATAAACACAAAATATAAAATATAACCACAAACATTTGAAATAAACCAAGAAATGTTTAAAATTCATTTTATTATGATTTTTTTTTCTGGCTTCATTTCACATTAACAGGAATAAGCTGTAATTTTGTCAGAGGTGTTTACTTTTTAACAACAATTTCCTAAATTAACAAGTCCAGTTATCTGATTGGCTGTTGCTTTGATCTAAATAGGCAGGACAGGAAGGACATTAATTCTGTCCTGTTTATATTTTATTATTAAAATGGGATCACTGAATAAAATCATATTTTGGAAAAAGACTGTGAAAAAAACCTTGAAATTTGAAACAGCTCACAAACTGCTGGAATAAAATAATTTATTGTGAAAAGCAGCTGGATTCATAAAAACACTTCATTATAATCAGCAAAGCTGAAATGATTGGTCAGTTAAAGGCTTTGACTGGCAAAGTATCTTCTGATGAATTTTTTGTTCATTAACTTGTAATTAAAGTGTTTTTCAAGCAGAATGGCATAGATTCCCTACAGTTGGTCAGGTTTCTCAGCTGTGTGGATTTTGGACTCTTGTTCAAACAAAAAAAGAAACATTTTCAGATGTTAACCTTGGACTCCAGGAAACGGTCATTGTGAATGTTTTCTGTGGAATATTTGTAACTCCAAACAGCCTACAGCTATAAATGGGCCCCTAGATAAAGACGTGAATATCTCTTCATCCTAGTAAGACATCCTGGTTAAAAGAGATGTGCATCTCTGTTTAGCAGTTTAGAGTCTCTTTGAGTTTTATCTTTGCTTTTCTTCTCATATTCTTTTTGAGGTTCATCTTTATGGTCGATTTGATCTCTTTTGGGTCATTTTTGGCATGCCTTTGTGGTTGAATTGCATTTCTTGCTGGCTGTTTATCAGAATACCACATGCACTGTAATTTACTCTTTTACAGTAGGTGATAACATAACAGCTTCGGTTTCTGTTTGAGTGTATAAAAGTGTTTGCATACAATACTGACGTTTTGACGTAGGGGTCAGAGAAGCCGTTGGCGTCCATGGCGGCTAGGTGAGCGCAGCGTATGATGCCCACTACCAGGCAAGACTTCTGGGTATTGTACTTAAGAGAAATCATGATGCGTCCTCGTTCCTCCAGAGACTTGTCTTCTGTTTTGTTGACCTGCAGTGGCAAAAATGAAAAATGCACAGATTTACAAATAATAACCAGCATTATTTTCTTCCATGTCCACGAATCTAGTTTTCAGTGGATGTTTCTCATTTCTAGCATCATCATCATTTGGGAAACAACCAAAGGTTTCACTTCCAAAATCCATGTTGACAACAGAGTCAATGCCTGGAAAAGTTCTCACTCTCTCAACCACTGATTTAATTCATTTTTAAAATGACGCACTTTTTTACTGTCCATCAAGTATTTTGTGAAACTAAGTCAATGTTATGAAACGCCTACAGCAGTCACAGCATTTGCCTTCTTGAGTTGTGTGGCTTGAAAATCAGCCAAACACTGATTGGCTGATTGATGCCATCTCCGCTGTAGAGAGTGAGCTAATAGCCTCATCAAGATTAATTTTCCATGTTCTTTACAGACAAGATAAACATCTGAACTGACACGACCCCTGTGCCAAGAGTTGTGAAACTCATCTTTTTTTACTGATGAGCACAACTTCAACCAGAGAGCCAAATGTTCAGGTCCTGACAAATGAATTCAAACATTTCCATCTGTTTGGATGATTAGGTATTAAGTGTGATGTGGCCAAGGCTCAGTATAAGCACAAAGCAGGCAATCAGCTGAAACTGTCAGCCTTCCTGATAGGCTGCTGAATCTGGATTGGTCATGCCAGATAACTTCAGTGCTACAAACACTCTTACCAGTCTGTAGATGTCACACATCTTTAGCCAGTTAAACCAGAAGACCTGAAAACAATCACTTAAAGCACCACGAGAAAACACAATAAAATGTCTCAGAAGCAGTAATAAAATGAAAAACTTTTCTCACCCACAGTGACGAGTTTCTCTAAACAACACAATAACACAGTTCAGTCATTGAAACAGGCACATTAAATGAAGGAGAAACTTGACTTGTTTCATTTTATCTGGGTGTTCCAAAAAACAAAAATAGGCAGAAAAAATATTTTAAATGGGTTTAACTAGAATGCAGAGAAAACATTTTACTGTAATCTGTTCATTGCATACATTCTTCTTTTTTAGCTGCACATAAACAGAGCACCTCTTTCATGTCCTATATCTCAGTACTCCAGTATCAGGAGTAGATCTGGTGATTTGGGGACCCAGGGCAAAGGACTGCACAAAGCACCGCGAATCAAAACCTTTCCCCTTTTAAAGCCTTCCCTTCTATACTCCAGAGAGAAAAATACACCTGAGTGAAAGATTTGTTAGGGAAATGCAGCCAGAGCTCCTAAATAGCTTTGTTATTTTCATTTTTCATTGCCCAGTGACTTAGAAATGTCATTTACCAGCAACACTTCTGCAGTTTCCAATTGCGTGAATATGCACGGCATGTTCCCATAACTCAACATTTTTTTAACCATATAAACAGTATAAGTCCATCCATAAAACGTCAGCATTAGGAATAGAGTTTTTTTCTGGTTGGTTTGTGCCATTTCAAGTTGATATTCTTTAGTTTTTTCTGTTTCATTCTTTCATTTCAGTCTTTTTAATGACAAACTGATAATTACTTCACACTAGAGCTAAGCAATAGGCTCAAGTTAAATGTAAGAGACATACATAGATAAGGCCATGGGTCTGAGATGAAACTGCCTATCAAGCCAGTGGGGCTGGCGGATTAGCCTAAGGAGATGCAATGTACATATGAAACTGGCTCAAGTTGTAGTCATAACTCTTTGCTTGGGTGAGGGTAAGAGGTAAAGCAGCTCTAAAAGTATGTTAGGTCAGTTTAAATGTAATGTACTGTAGATTAGGGCCAGAGAATGGTGTAGCCATGGGGCCCGCAAATCCAGACACTGACTGTGAGGCCCAGTGATAGGTCAAAGCATCATAAAACATTCCAAAGGAATCCTTATCCAAGTTTTGGCATATTTATCGTTGCACTGATAACTCTGGCAGTAGTATACTAGTGTAAGATACATTGAAGTAACCTACAGCATGTAAAATGCACCAAGTTTGAACAGGACAAGCTAATTTTTATACAAAAAGAAAACTTTTTCACTTGACAGTTGCTATAAAAACAAAAAAAAATATATTAACACATAAGATGTGCAGGAAGCAAGTATAGCAAGATAGCACAGAAAGGAGAATTCTGCTCATTGTACTGTAGCTTGTTAACACAATTAGCAAATGCGTGTCCATTTACATGTACAGTACAGATAGCTAGGATTTGGCATTCTGAAAGTTACTGTTTCAAATAATTATGCCCTAACAAGCTGCAAGCAGCGATCGAGTTCACACATGTAATGCTACATTCTCACACTCCAAAACATCTTCTAAATTCAGAAGCAAAATAAGAATAACAAAACTGAAAAACAGGCAGGAAGAGGGGTCTCTACAGACACTGACTTCTCTCTCCTTCCACAGTCTTGTACTGTGTGTAGGGGACCATGGTTAACAATCTGCCCAGCAGTGTCCACAGCAGGATACTAATCAGATATCTCTAGGGACCCGAGTCTCTCTGCATGAGTCATAGATGACTTTTACAAGACATCTCAATGGACTTGACTGGCCATCCATTTCATTTGGCATACCAACATGTGTCAGCTGCCACCTTGGTTGACTGTCAAAGCCATTTAAGTTCTGTCTTTTCTTCTACCGTTTATCGCTTTTAGGACATCCCACTGTTGCCTCTGCCTCTGTGTTTCACATTAACAGGATGCACTTTGTGAAGTATGTGACAAACCAAGAAACTGACAGGAATACAAAAGTATCAAGAAACAACAGACAGGAGGAAGTCAAGTTCAGTCAAGACAAATCTATTTTAATACAACATTAAATTCAACAAAAAGTTGACCAAAGTGCTTTACAGAAAACAAAGCACCATAAAACCATAAGCAGCACTATGACCTCCAAACCAAAAAACAAAATTACAAGCAATTTAAGATGGACTGTGAACTCAGCATTGACTAAATCATGCTCCCCTCTAGTTTTTAACTTGACCCTCGGCACAGCTAGAAGCATCTGGCCCCTACACCTAAGCATTCTAGTGGGAACATAAGGATATAAAAGTTCCAAGATGTAGGAAGGGGCAGAACCATTTAAAGCTGTATAGGTCAGGAGAAGTATTTGAAAGTGAACACTGAACCACAGCAGGAGCCAGTGGAGCGAAGCAAGGATTGGTGTAATGTGCTCATGCTTGTGTGCTCTTGTCAGCAAACTGGCTGCAGCATTTTGGACTAATTGTAAACAATCTAAGGATGATAGATATATATATATTTTTTTATATAAGGGAATTGCAACAGTCAGTGTAATTAGAAATAAGTGTGCATGAGCTTTTCCAAACTGTTAAAGGTTTTAACCTTTAAGAGGAGTCTAAGCTGAAAAAAATCCTTCTTTAATGTACAACCAGTTTTAACATACAACCACATAGTGCTGTCCAGATTATATCAAGATTGACATCTTTATAGCACTCCATGCCTTTTTTCCTTTTCACACTCACACCATCCTTTTAGCCTGGCTAGCCCTCTTTCTCTAACAACATTTTTTTAAGCTGGCAGCATATGCAAATAACTAACAAACAACATGTATTAACAGACACATACAGCACAGGATACTGTAAGACTAACAAACTCAGTTGATTACCATGAAACACCATTAATCCTGAATGAAAAATGCATTAATTGTATGCAACTGCATGGCTTCTGCTCTTCATATAGAGTCTGCTCTCTTTCCC